TTTGAACTCCCTTTCTTGCCTATTAAACCGTACTGTCAATTTAAGTCTGGGTCCTGGGTGTTTATATCTGAACTATGGTAAAATGGCTTTGGTTGCAGACAGTTAAATCTTAGAATGGGGGGAAAAAGGCTAATGGAGCAGCTGGGGGTACAGCCCCTGGTTTAGGAAGGTGACTGCAGAATCCAGAGGTTGTGGGACAGGGATGCACAAGTCAAAGAAGGACCAGGTGAATGACACGGATTGCTTCTCCATCAAATGTTGGGAGTCCAGTTATCAGCAGGGACAGCTTCTTCACCCTGTCCCTCGTTATATTTCATCCTTGTACAGTAACTTGAAGGAGAGGACTTTGTTCACCGAGTCTTTGACCTTCCTGTTGAGTGTGAGCGCTGCAAGAGTTTCTAAATACAGCAACAGTGTGCCGCTTTGGTAGCGAATATATCGAACGTGGTCTGAGAGCTAGTGCAAGAGCCTCCCACTGCTACAGTCCTGTGCAAGGCCAACTTCATAGGTTTAGGAATGACTTTTTCATTACAAAAGTGATGATTAAATAAAACACCCAAACCTCTTATTGGGTACGGGCTCACAATTCTACATTGGAAGAAGATTGTGTAAAGAAAAGGTAATAAACTCTGTTAGAGGTGACCTCTTTATCTGTGAAACTGCTTCTGCTTCAGAGTTCTGTGAGTAAATAGTTTATACTCAACACAAAAATAACTGTGCTGGTACAAAGGTGTGTATTGAGAAGGTGGTAAGTTTTGCACACGATCTCGTTCTGGTTCCTTGCAGATGTGCAAATCTAATCAAATTGCACCTTATGTGCATCTGAATAGTTCCAAGAGAGCTGGCAGAGTTGCTGTGGATGTTCCCTGTAGCAAAGGACAGCTGAATTAGTTTACAAAACTGCGGGTTTTTTGGGGGTAAGTGAAGTTAAATAAAATCAGTTCTACAACTACTTACCTTGGATGTCCATGACAAGCCAGAAAAGTTAGCACTAAAATTACAAATTTAAGCAGATGAATGGTGATACAAGCTGTAACCGCCTTGTAAATAATTTCTATTACTGGCAGAGAAATAGTTTGACCAGGGAGTCATTTTAATCTAGAATATTTACTGGTGTATTAGTAGAGACTGTGGTATCGAAGAAGTTTTACAAAATCTAGCTGTTAGATTTATTCTTAAAATACTCCTTTCTAAGATGTATGTTTGTTAAAACATTTCAATCCCAATTATGCACCAGCTCTCTTGTGGGAAGTTAATGATTCCAATGAAAACAAAGGAAGAAAACTGTATTACAGATTGTTTGTCTTCTGCAGTCTAAAACATTCTTTAAAGGATTATTTTCTCTGCTTTTATTTACATAGTTAGCAATAACGATTTTTAACTTCAGGTTATTTTTCATTTGCTGGTAAACATCGGCTACAGCATTTGCTAATTTTCTGTTTCAATAATACAATCATCCTGAATGAACACGAGGTGAACAAGGGCAGCTGAAACTGAAAGTTAAGTTTAATTATCGCATGATAGGTCACACTCACATTGCTGTGAGAGTGTTGCAACCGACATCACCAACATATATCATAACCACTGGTCTTTCAAAGACAAAGGCTTAACAAAAAAGAAAATCTTTTTTAACAAAAAAGGGTGGGGGGGGAACCTGGGGCATATAATTTCCCAGTGCTGTTTGCAAGCCTCGGATTGTTGCTACAGATCATCAGGCGTTCTGTTCTGTTTAGGGAACTCATTCTACCTGTCAGCAAATGTCTGAACGTCTGAGCTGCAGAGCAGCCCCTCCCTGGCCTTTTCGCTGCTCTCTGCTTAAGTGCGACAGAAAATCTAGAGGCCTTTCACGGCCCCCCCCCCCCCCCCACTGGGGGTCATGGCTTTCTCCTTCCTTACTCCCTTAGCAGGGCCCCAGGGCAGCAGGGTGGGAGAGCTGCGCTGGGGAGAAACCTCTCCAGCGGGCTCAGCGCGGGCTGCCCAGTTGCCCAGCATATGCAGACCTTTGTGCTTTTGTTGACATGCAAGGACTTTAAATGAACATTATTTCATCCGCAGGTTCTTCAAGAGCAATTTGCTGTGATTGTTTGTCTTCCGAGCGTTGTAGCAGGGCCCCAGGGCAGCAGGGTGGGAGAGCTGCGCTGGGGAGAAACCTCTCCAGCGGGCTCAGCGCGGGCTGCCCAGTTGCCCAGCATATGCAGACCTTTGTGCTTTTGTTGACATGCAAGGACTTTAAATGAACATTATTTCATCCGCAGGTTCTTCAAGAGCAATTTGCTGTGATTGTTTGTCTTCCGAGCGTTGGATCAGTCACTCTGGTTTGCACGCAAGATGCCAGGTGCTGCCTCTGGTCTGCAGTGGGAGCAGTGTGACTTTTCAGATCAGGTTTCCAGAGGATCACAGGAGTAAATTCAGAATTTGTTTCTGCAAATAATCTCTGATGTTTGCTTGCAATTTGCTGTTTCCAGAAAAATTTTTGGCAGTGAACATGTTTGCTTGGATTCTCACAATTGTTTCGGTAAGCATATTCTTTCCCTTGACAGGCCCCTCTTGGCAAATATTTCAAATTCCTGTCTTTCTCTTTTTACATTTTAGCTTTTCTCAGGATTTTTAGCTGAAGCTCTCTATTGTTTCTAAGGGTGGCTATACTTGTTAGTATGTGATGCAGAATTCCTAGGGTTTACACAGAATTCTTCCTTCAGGATATAGAGGAGTTTGTGGCTAACAGGAATGAGGGAAGGAGTCTAAAAAAACTTGGAGGGAAATAAGCAAAAGTCAGACTGATTATAACTAAGCGGGAAGCTAAATTTTTGTAGGAACTGAAATTCAAAAATTTCAAAATTATTTTGTTGTAGGTCCTAAATCAGGTTTACAAACAAAATACGCGTTTTATTTCAATACTGAAATTTTGGTAACAGTGGTAACAGTGAAGCATTCATGTAGCATGAATGTCTTAATGTTTCCAAAATTAATTTTGATCTCTTCAGTCCCTGGACCCTGGAGTCCCATCTACTCGCCAGTCATCTGCAAGGAGCTGGTTACCACCAGAAGCTTCGGAAGCTCAGTATACATCTGGGGAGCCAGCTGGGTAAATCAGGGCCACAGCTACTACCAAACGTGCTGGGCTTCACGCTATATAATCTCTATATAAAGTGTCAGTGGAAAACTGTTTCATCCTAAAAGTTATAATCGACTCTAGCCAAGAGTTTGGTGCAGAAGTTGTGATGAAGAAGTAGGCAAGTAAGAGGGCTAATACACTGGAAGGAATAGAGCTAAGAAAAGGAACCAGGCTGATACAGGCACCTGAAAAGATGGAGCCAAGAGTCTCAAAATGGATGGGCGGGGAGGGAAGGATAACTAAAGGTCAGAAGATAAGTCACGGATGGGCAGTGGCACGCATGGAAACAGGAGCGCGTGATCATTTTTCTATAGATCAGTATCTTGTGCGTCCATTGATTTTAGGTAGAGAATGTTTTGCTGCACAAGTAAGCATCTGGGGCTGAAAATAAGATCTAATCTATTGACATAATTATTGGCAAAACAAAAGGTAAATAAAACGATTTGAATTTTGCTGAGATGTTAACATGGTCTGATTCGGATTTTTGGTTTCTGATCTTGCCTACGTCACCTTTAAATGGCTCGTGTGAGGATAAAGGAGGTGTTGATATGGAAATGCAGGGGAGAGATGAACAGGGATGGAAAGCTTATCAAATTTTGTTTAAAATATTACTCTTTCAGTTTATTTTCATTATTTACTCTTTCTGAAAATAAAAAATAACTTAGAGGGAACTGAAAACAAGATTTTACCGTAGAGGAGCAGAGTAAATGAAGAATATGAACGAGTTCTAGCTGCTATTTTTCTTTTACATATAAAATGATGGTTAATATTTGTGACATAGTTCAGAGTGTAATTGGGAGGCTCTTATAAAAATACTTAAATGTAACTATTTTTTATTAAAAAGAAATTAAAGTGGCAACTATAGAAGTATTTTCCTCATTCTTTTACTAGTTTTGTTGTGCAACTTCGAGCAAATCAGTGAAATGACTAATGCCTCAGTTTCCCCTTCTTGGTAAAGACATAGTAAAATTAATCCCTCAGAGTGCCATGTGATTTTAAGCCAGTATTTTTTTAAAGGTCATGCTTCTTTAGACAGAAATGCAATCTGTTATTTTAGTAAATAGATCTTAGCTTTCCTTCAAAAATGTCTGTCCAAAACCTGTTTTATTTTCCTTAAGCATTTGAATTATGAACGCTTGTTCTGGCTTTGATTCTTCTTTAAGCGTGCAGTTTGCTGAGAGCAGTAATCTCTTTTATCTGTTTGCTGAAGCACATGGACTCGTTTCCACTTGTTCCTAGCTGGCTGGTGTTAGGACCCAGAAAAGAGACAGCAGCAACGTGATATAAATAGAGTACCAGAATGGGACAAAGTTTGAGGAGAAAGCATGACATCACTCCGACTTGCTCTCCACCCAAAAAGATCTGGGATGGAGGTGCAAACGTGAGCTGGACAAGCGAGGAGTTAGCAACTCTTTTCAGCTCAGTTCCTGAGGAAATAGTGCGAGTTATACGCCCGATGTGCTATAAGGAAGTACATTTTCTTGCTAGCAAAACTAAAGCTGGCTTCAGATCTCTGACAATGTGAAAGTAATTGAAAGGAAAAGACAACCATAGGAAGAAAGTTGAAAACAAGATCTTTTCTTTTTGGCACAGATTGTAACAGAAATATTTGACTTCTTTCCATGGAACAGTACAACTTTTGGATCTGATGCACATTTCTTTTAATTTTCCTCCAGTCACGGTAATTTATTTATAGTTAAATGAAGAGATCAAAGTGTGAAGCAAGCGAATACTACTCAAAGGGTCTGGAAGGATATTTTGCCATCACTGAAGGAACGGACTTTTTGAACCTGCATGGAAAATGTCCCTTTTAATACCAAAAGTAGCAAAGGAAAACTTATGATTGAAATCTTACAGGAATTTTATTTCAGTTGTACTTTTAACCTTAAATAGACCATGGAGAATTTATTATCTCTGCTCTCTTGTCATTATTCTTTGCTGATTTTATTTCAGTACAAATACCAGGTAATGTTCTGAATATGGTCAGTATTGAGATATATGTGGATATATCTAACTCTTAGCAAGTTTTGCCTCACTATGTCTCATTATGTAATGTTTTCTGTGCAGGTGTATGGAAACTATTCCCAGCTACCCAAACACCCAGGTAAGGAATGTTCTACTTACATTTTATGACAATGTGCTTAAATATTTATTTGCTTTTTTGGTCTGTATTTTTCATTTTCTTAGTAACGCCAAAGAAACTGTGAGCCTATGTTTGACTGTCAGCTCTGTATTAAAAATGTAATAAAGTCTAAAGTATCAGACCGTCCCCGTCATTTTAAATTCAGTAACATACCTACCAAGTATTCTACATAGAAATGTATTTGGAGAAAAATAAAATAAAAAATGTTTGATACGTAGAGAAATCCTATTTAGTGTTTGTTTATTATTACTTTTTCTGAGCATGAGTTTCTGCATCAGACCTCTACACAGACTGTTTTCTTTTTTTTCCCCTCACTATCTCACTGTTCAGCATTTTCAATTCATTGATTTACAGTTAGATATGCCAGCTTGTATACTTTGCAGTACTTTGGCATGGCTTCAAGTCATTTACCCTCCTCCCAGCCTTCATGCTTAAGTTTAAATCAGTTATAGAGCATATTAAAGATCTCTCATCTGTTTTCAATGCAGAGAAAACTTACCCAAAGCTTGTCTGGGGTCTGTGTGTGTAACTGCAGAATTCTTCTGTTTATATAAATAGTTTAACCTCAAGCCTCATGGTGGTGTACAAGTACAATTTTACTGCTTTACCAATTCATGTATTGCTTTGTGCTTTTAAGTTTTAACCGTATGTAATTATTTTCAAAATAAAATACAGAGTGATGTGGAAAAGCCATGTTGTCTGCTATTGCAGTAGCTTCAGCCCGATTAGTTCCTTTTGTTCTACCTTCACTCAAAACCAAAGAAATAGTCTCATTTCCTACAGACGAGGATCACTGGCTTCTAGCTGATGGAACAATAGGGGGAAAAAAAGTCTCCTGCAATAAGGGGGCAAGTTACATGACACTTATTTTGTAGTACAGCGTGTGTGGGGAAGCATAACTGCGAGCGATGCTTTCTGGGTTTGAACTAGGCTGTAAACAAGTCCTGTGATTTTGTTCTAAACACAGAGCAGTAACCCACTGAAAGGATATTGCAAGTATAAGTTGAATTCAAGGCAACAGGTATTTGTTTTCAGAGGTCTTCTCAGGGCTGATTGGCTGGACGTGGGGTAACAGCATGGCTTTATATAGTTCAGAACTGGGAGCTGGGAAAGCCACCCACATGCAGTGTGGCTCTAGGCAGTTCACTTTGCTGTATACCTATTTCTCTTCCCATTTGTTTTTCTCCTTTTTTTCCAGCTTTTAAATGTAAGCTCCTTAGAATATAGCTTCTCCTTACGAGTTTGATGCCGACCATGGCAATACCTTTGTCGTGATGCTGCTATTACTGCTACTACTAGTACTACTAAAATACTTGTGCCACGCTGTGACACAGTTTTTTGGCATCAAATAATTTTCTCCTGGGATTTTTCTTTTCTATTTTTCTCTATTTTTCCTCTTTTTTTTTTCTTCCTACCACCTCTCTTAACTTTAATCCTTTTTTTTTTCCCCGATACAAAAGGGAGATGTTAATGTGAGCAAGAGCTATTTGCATATAAGCGCACTGCAGGCGTGTTCTGTGCTCTGCAAAATGGAACTGGTAGTTTGATGAAAGTCGGATGGAGGTACATTAGCACAGGTTGCGTATGTGGATGCTCTTAATACCATAGAAATTCATAACTTTCATTTCTTTTGCAGCAGCCAGAATACGTTATTTGGAGATAGAACTAAGCACGTACCCAGATTTAGTTTATGTAAATGCAAAACCCTTGTTCCTATACCCCGTTTCCTCAGTGTGCTTTGCCACGCTCAGCTTAGTTGAGTTTGGGTTGCCTGGAATTTTCAGATTGGGTTTTGTACGTGCTTATTCTGTGTCATTATTCTCTTATGTTGGCAGTAGCTTTCTCCTTTTGTTAGCAATGGTGCCTTTCCCTGTATCTTCCAAATATTCAAAGGAAGCATATAGCCGTAGAATCTCATCCATTTCTCTAAAGACACCCCATCTTATCTATTTATGCTCATGCTCCCTCTCTGTGGGAAAACCTCTATGACAACTGCAAACTTTCTAGTTAGGTAGACCAATAATAGAACCTGATCAATTATGACTCATTTGTTGATATCGTTGGTATAGTTGAGTTTGGAAGCAAGTCTGAGTAGTTTGTGTATCCTCAGAAGATGCGGAGCTTCTTTTAGTTCTGTGCTCTCAGATCTACAATTGCTTGTTGTGATGTTTAGCAATTTTAGCAGCTTTGCGCTCTTATAAAAAAAAAATATCTTAGGATCCTCTCTGTGTCACAGCTCTGAAACTATACCATGAGGATGGAGGACATCAAACAGATCTCTACTGTGTGGGCTAGGCAGTTTAAGGGTGCAAATAAAATTTTTGCAGCTTCATATCCATGATAAAGAAATCCTGTTTGTATCCAGGACGTTAAAATGATAGAGTAATTATCAAATAGGCAAGCTGTTTTGATCTCAAGAGTGAAGAAAGGTGTGGGACAGACTGTAAATGTCAAAGGACACTGCTTGTGATTTTGTTTTAATTTGCACACTAGGTGTGGGGAGCTTTTGTATGGTGTATGACAGCTGAAGTGTTTTTTAAGAAACTTAATCTCTATCGGCTTCGCACCTCAGGTTCTTGAAAGATTGCTTGGGAATGAAAAATGGTTGTAGGGCATAGAACTACAGATATGGTGTAATATAAATACTTGCTCTCTCTGTCCCTGTCGTCCATCATCCCCAATCCCGAAAGAAAAGATTAACTCAAACTAATAGGTTGATATCTCATGATGATGAACAAAACACATTCTCATTTGCATTCACAGTAAAATTTCTGTATATCTGTATCAACCTTCTAAAACTTCCTTAGATATAGGAGATTATAAATTTATTTCAGCACAGCTGGTTAAATTAATTATTTTGAGAATAAAGTGTTTCTTGCTGCTAACAAGATAATAAGAAATTATAATTCATGTTTTCCTACATTATTAATGCTCTACCTTTAACATAGAATTGTTAACACAATATTTGATTATTTTGGGCAGCTCGCTTCTGGTCAGGTCTGAGTAGTCACATCTCCTAAAATCTGTTCAAACTCATCAATTAGACTGTGCAGATAAATCTGCCAATGGAAACCAACAGATGTTTTGCTTTTGTCAGCTTGTCCACCTGTTGCTAAGGAGGACGTTTAGGAAAACAAAATGTTCCCATCAGCCACAAGGAGTTGTTCTGGTTTTGGTGTAGCGGAGGAGGTTCTGAAGGAATAGCTAATGCCGTGTGGGGAGGAGTGAACTCTCTTCCATACGTTGCTTAATATTCTGGAACCCCTTCTCTTGAGGAACATCAAATTCCTTCTGTTAAAGGGTATAGTTTTGCTATATGACTCTGTTAAGGTGCGAGTTATCTGGAGACATCAGCAAGGCTAGACTCTGCAGTAACAACTGTGCAGGCACCTATACTCTCATCCATGTCCCAGCTCCTCCACCACTGGGTACTGCTCCTTACTGTGTCTGACTAGTGTCTTTCCACAGAGACCAAAGGTGAAAAAAACACTTGGATCAATATAACCTGAAGGTGTTGCACGGGTTTTCCAGTGGGTTTTGGAAAGAGGATAAGATTCCTGGGAACTCTAGCATCTTCTCCTACTCTCTTGAGCTGCAGAGAGCTGAGTTACCTATGGAGGAGGCAGGAGCAGAAGTAGTATGCTATAGAGGCTAAACATTCCCCCGTGCATTCCCCTCTCGGTGCTTTGTACTCTCCACTGTGTGTTTAAAATCTTGGTAAAATCTTGAAATTACTCTTGAATGACTTCTCAACTGTTCTTCAACGAATGCTGCCTGATACACTAGCAGAAATTTAGTTAGAGATTGTTACACATTTTAAGTGCAATTAGAATAAAAATCTGTTGAGTTTTAAAAACAGTTTTTTTTTCAATGGTCAATCAGATATACGGCTTTAATCTCCTCTGCCATTTTGATTTATGGTCTCGCTTATGTGTAGTACTTGATTTACGTTGAATATCTTGTTCTACTTAACCTATTGAGCTCTCTTATTGTTCTTTTCTGTGGAGACTTTTTACACTCCTTGTTGGGCCTTACTTTAATAACCTTTTCATCTGTGTTTCTTGAAAGGGTTCAAAGTTCTTGCATCAGCTTCCCATTACTGGCCGTTGGAAGATGTGGATGGAATTCATGAGTTTCGGGATACGAATGGAGGTAGACAAAGGATTTGTTGACAATGGCAATAACATAAGTATTTGTGGCAGTCTGTAAGTAGACAGGGAGCAGGAGAAATGAAAGGGGTTAGCTTTTGTGCCACAGCAGTTGAGATGATCTTCTTTTTTTCAGTTAATGTTTTTGCAGTGCTCTGATGTCCAAATGATATTGTACTTGTGAACTGATTTTTATAGAGTATTCTCAGACGTTTTATGGGCTGTCTACGCATTGTTAAGGTTATAAAGAGAAAAGGTTTATGATCCAAAGAGTCATTGAAATCACATTGTTATTAGCTGGTTTGGTACATGCATAACATGACCTAATACATTCAGTGACTGAGATCTTTGGCTATGCCAGCAGTGAAGATGCCTGCTTCTTTTTGCTTTTTGGAAGGAGTTAAATGCCCAAATGCTTCAGGCACGTTTCAAAATTGCACTTAGTATCCATAGAAAGAGAAGTGTAAGCTCTTACCTGGTTACTACTTACTCATTTTTATCTGCTTTTGGATATTTCCTTAAAAGCAGTATTGCAGCATTAGTTCAAACATTTTTTCCAATTGGTAAAACCAAGAGAGGTTTGGTAAGGCAAAACTCTCACTGATTTGGAAGAGTCAGTTGTCAGGACCGCAGAGGGAATGATGTTAAAAGGCAGTCTGGTTGGATTCAGCAGTGTTCTGGTTCTGATGTTTCGCATCAGGAACAAGAAGGGTGATGGGGGCTTGGCGGGGATGTGCAGGTGATGTAATTGAGGGAGCTTCGACCGAACCACTATATCCCATGGCAGCATCATGGGCTTGCAGGGCCATTCCTTTCACATGAAATTTTCAGCTATGCTCTGCCTCCTTCTGAGACTCAAAGGTCCCTTAGTAATTTTCACATGAACTGGTTTTTCTTTTCTGACATTTTAGCCAATTCCAAGTCGGGCTGATGTATATTCCCCAGTATTTCTCACACTGTGGCTGACCACCTTGGCAGTTGAGCTAAACTGTTTTGTACTAGTGCAAGGAGTAGCTGCTGCGTTACGGCTGCTGACTGTAATATCATTACCAAGAAAGATGACTGCAAAGGATTAAATCAGGAGTTAGAGACCTTTACAACCTTACATGAAGAATGTTACAAAAGTGCAGTTATTGCTATTTATTCCACAAAAATGGCAACATCAATCTCTGTTCCTAAGTGGGCAAAAGATCCATAAATATCTAAAACCTTTTATTCCAGAGGTGTTCAAGTATTTTAAGCTTAAACTTTGATCCATCTTTCCACAAAGTTCCTTAAAGGAATGAAATCGACTGACCAGAAATAAGTCTGGGCAATATTCTGCTGATGGCAGTGTTCCCATTGACTTCAATAGAATCATAATTTGGTTTACAAAAAATTACCTCAGTTCTCTTAATGCTGTGTTAAAGTAATTTTCTGACACTGGACTTTGCGTACTTTCAAGAAGAGTAAAGCAGTCCATATCTAGCACTGTTTTGGCACTCATGTTACAAAGATGTTGTTTTGAAAGTGCTTGAAAGCGATATATAAAATATAGCTCTTGGAAAAATGACAATTGATGTTAGATTGTTTTTCAAATTATGTTAAATTACATTATTTCAGCAAAATTCAGTAATCTTTTCAGCAGTATCTTGGAAGAGAGAAAGCAGAATATATGAAGTGTCTGATCCTACAAACCTTCACTTACAGGAATGGGACTGGCTCACATGAGTAATCTCCTTTGACTCCTATTATGACATTGTGTTAAATAACTTTGTAAATGAGCCAGCTGCATGACTTTGCTGAAAAAAGTTTGGAGGACTTTGTCTCACTCCTATTTGCCGAGGATGCCAGTAGCCAGAAGTCTTTCTCTCTGCAGTGCAATTCTGACAATGTTGAATTCTTTCCTTAATGTTGTAGTGGATAGTTCAAATTCTTCTCAGTTGCTTATATTGTGTGTTATAATACACAGATACTATTTCAACTGCCTCCAGCAGAAGTTTCATGTATCTATCTGGTATTTGACTTTGATATGCAAGAAAAGTTTTCTCTGTTGTAATCTAATGCAGGTGACAATTTGCTTGTTTTTGATACCATTCTGATTACACAACTCTTCTGTTTATTTCTAAAGTCTTTCTTGTTTTTCCACTCATCATATCATGCAATTATTTTCATTCCATGTTTCTCGTCTTAAATCCTTGAACCATCATAATCTGTCCATCATGTTAATCCATTTTATTTGTTGAAGTCATTGTGTGTGAAGCCAGATTTATATCTCTCAATGCATTTGTGTTGTGAGGGAGAGTGTCAGCAAATTAATTTTTTGGTTATCTCAGCACTAGAAGCAATTGAAGGGAAACAATCAACTTAAAATATAGCAAATAAAAAAAGATGTGGCCATGTTCAGGTTTTTTGTCTGACCCCTTGCTTTCCATGCATTTTTCTCTTGAGTTTTTTGTGGGGGGGTTTGGCTGGGTTTTTTTTAAGAGCATTTACCTTTCCCTTCTGTGAGCTCAGTTGGTCTAAATCCCAACTCAGTGTGTCTCTATTTACTTTCACGGGCTTTCCATCAAGCTCTATTTGCCTGCCCAGGGCAAATAATTACAATGTACAAGATACTGTTAAATTATCAAATTGAGAAAAAAAATACTAGAGAATAGAATTTTATTGTCAGATATAAAAAAGTTGGGTTTTTTCTTTATGTTTAGATGGAATTTCTTGTGTTTTAGTTTGTGCCCATTGCCTCTTATCTGTTCACTGGAGGTAACTGAGGAGAGTCTGGCACTATCTTTACACCTCCTGTCAGGTGTTTATACACATTGATAAGATCCCAGAGCCTTCTCTTCTGCAGGCTGAGCAGTCCCAGCATTCTCAGCCTCTCCTGGTGTGTCAGATGTTGCAGTCCCTTAATCATCTTGGTAGCCCTTCCCTGGACTTGTTCCAGTATGTCCATGTCTCTCTTGTACTGGTGAGGCCAGAGCTGGACATGGGACTTGAATTGCCCATGGCTTTTGCACCAGTGTAATGATTTTTGTTATAATTGCAGAGTTCCTTACCAGCATGATTAGATTTCAGAGCCCTTCATCTGCAGTTGTATTTTTCATAGTTTTTTCTCCTCAGTTACTGTAAGTAAAAAAAAAAAAAAAAAAAAAAAAAAAATTGTTTTAGTGATACTCTTGTTACTTAACTTCTGTAGTTAAAGAATGCAACATTCATGTGCATACAAGTCCTTGGGAGAAGTGGTTGTATGACAATTTTAAAGGCCACTAACATCTGTGATTTGTGCTATGTTGAGAGATATGAACTGGTCAATTCATTACTGATTGTTTATTCATTGTTTTGCTTATTTGCTTATTTTCTTTTGTTGTTCCACCCAGCTCTAAGAATCCACAACTTCACTGTGCTTCCTTCCCATAACTCTACCTTTGTATATACCAATGACTCTGCCTACTCTAACTTCTCTGCAACTGTAGGTGAGGATTTACGTATTTTTTGTTCTGCATTTGTCAAGCTTGGATGGTTCTTGTAACATTGGATTCAAAGTTAACCCTGAGTTTTGGTTCAAGTGGTCATGTGGTAACGGTCTATTTATGCTTACGTTGGCATTCATTGTTGAAAAAGCACTCCTGCGATGCTGCCTGAATTACTCTGAACTACTGGGAGAAGCATCCCCACGCTAAGCAGCTCGTGGGAGGATGGGGCCCAGCGGTCCTCCAAAACCTAAATTATTTATATTAAGCTTAAAAGAAACAGATGACATTTCAGAGGAACATATAAGAACAAATAGGTTGGGTTTTTTCTTTTCTTTCAAGCATAAAAGGCAAAAGAAGCCATCTGTTTTTCACCGTTTCATAGTAATTTTTAAAGGACATATTAAGAAGGACAAATGCAAGCAAATTTGCAAAGCCCGAAAGTCAGGTCTTGTCAGTAATGACATCTTTGATTAACACATTTAAAAAAAAAAAAAAGGCAAGCACAAATCTGCAGAGCTATGTGCTTTTAATGATTTTTTTTTTTTTTAACATCAACACACCAGGAGATAAAAGGACGAACAGAAAATGAGAACTCTCCAGGTAGAAACCTGACAGATTGGAAACTAGTTACATCTACACCAGAATAAGCTTAAAGTCATTTAATTGAAGTCAGTGGGATATATACCTGCGAAAAGCACAAATGCAGAGCTATGTGCTTTTAATGATTTTTTTTTTTTTTAACATCAACACACCAGGAGATAAAACAGAAAATGAGAACTCTCCAGGTAGAAACCTGACAGATTGGAAACTAGTAACTAGTACACCAGAATAAGCTTAAAGTCATTTAACTGAAGTCAGTGGGATATATACCTGCGAAGGTGCAATTGAAATATGATCTCTTGTCCGCTTTACAATTAGGTATTAACTCACATCTAGTTGTTGGAAAATCTGACCCAAGGAGGAGGGGAGATAAAAGGACGAACAGAAAATGAGAACTCTCCAGGTAGAAACCTGACAGATTGGAAACTAGTTACATCTACACCAGAATAAGCTTAAAGTCATTTAATTGAAGTCAGTGGGATATATACCTGCGAAGGTGCAATTGAAATATGATCTCTTGTCCGCTTTACAATTAGGTATTAACTCACATCTAGTTGTTGGAAAATCTGACCCAAGGAGGAGGATGAAAATGGTAGACCTGTCATTTGGGCTGCTCAGACGCTAGGAGGTTTATATTAGAATACTAAACCCACTATTTTTCTACTCCAACAGTAAAAGTATGCTGGCAAATGTGAACTCTATTAATAATGAACTTCAAATGACCCTAATTCCTTTCAGTCCTCACTTATCTGCTTTATAGACCATTTGCATAGTTCTCACATAATAAGATATATTCAATATGAACATTAAAAAGAGTGACATCAATGGCAAAGGAAATGCTATGGAAACAGAAGTGCATTACCTTATGGGATTTATTCTGGCTAGATTAATTTAGAATTCAAGTGACTCGAGAAGAACTTAGAAATGTTTGCTTCACTCCATAATACCCACTCAAATTTTTAAAAGAAACTAAATTTTATCTGTCAATTAGAGACAGAACTTGAGACAGAACTTGATGAATTCTTCCTCAAAGGGAGGGGAAGATACCTGAAAACTCTGATATTTGTGCTGAGATTTGGCATGAACTAAGAAAATATTTGGATGTACGTTCACTGAGGGCTATGCCCGGTGTTGCTGTTCCCTGGAGTGGTGTTACCCTACAGATGGGCGAGCACTGTGACTGCTGTCCTGATGCCTGATGGTTGTCTGCGTTTTGAAAATGAGACGCCCTTTTGCCCATGTCCCCATTGCATAAAGCAATGCACCATCTTGAAGCAGTGACAACAGTATTTGTGATTGTCGCTCTAGATGGACGGTCTGTCGCTAGCACTGACTGTGCATCCTTGGCGTGATTTGTGCTGTGCTCTGCTGTGCAAAAGGCTTCTGTTAAGTCAGGTAGATATACAGTGATAAATACAAAGAGAAGTCCCTTACGTCCCACCCTTCATGTGTTTTAGACCATTTGTGTGCCTTCCTCATCTCCCTTATGATCTAGTAAGATTTTTCAAATATCAGGTAGCACCTAGCTGGCAATTTCTGCACCTCAGAGCAGGAAAAGACTGTGTTCTCATTGCTGGTGTTTCCCTTGGAACAACTCTTCTAACACTGCCTTTTTCAGAAGAAATTATAAAGGTCTTAAAACCAAGGTCCTGAATCTTGACAATCCTTGCAGAAATGCCAACACAAACAATAGCGTTAACATGAAATTCCAAACTGAACAATTACATTCTGTCTGCTCAGAAACAGATGATAGAATATTCTGTGCTCTGTGGAATGCAGGTTTTTTAACACAGTGGAATTTTTTGATTGTGATTTCCTATTGTCTTCATTGCTAAAATTAGTCCTGCTTTTTATCTTGGGACAAATGAGATGAACTTCCCATCACCATCTATCAGCTGGACTCTCGGACCTTAGCGAGGTTTCCTATAGTAAACAAGTGTCATGGTTTTTCGGTATTAAGAAGGCTCATGTGCTTTAGCTAGTAGGTGATGAACCAACAGTGCTTTTCTTTAGGAGGAAACACAAGAAAATCACAACCAAATCACAAGACAGTTAGTCATTATCCATGTTAAACAAAGAAATAGCCTTTCCAAATGACAGCGATGCCATACCAAAGGATGTCTGAAAAGCATATATATTTCCACCTTTTAAATAGAGCTTGTCAAGTCTATTTAATTGAATTTTTTTTAATAAGTGGCTTTTGATAACAAAATTTCCCTTTAAAAAAGTGAAAAAAACCTATTTTGTTACATTTTTGATTGATCAAAGAGTTTCTTCACTAAATCAGCCTAACAGTAAGACAGAAATACCTCTATGATGTGTCCGGTATCCAGAACTCTGGAAAGCATAAGGTTTAATTACTTTGACATAATAAGTTTTGGGTGTATGGGTTCTGTCAAGCAGGTTTAGTTAATCAAGAACCAGAGTGACAGATACAATTTTTACAAACTAGAAATGAGAGAGTTATCTGTATGGTTCTTTAAAAAAAAACCAAAACCAAAACAAAAAACTCGCCAACAAACCCCCACCAAACTCAAACAAAACCCAAAAAGAAAACAGCAACAAAAAAACCCCCAACAAAAGCAAGCCTATAGTTGGGACAAGATAAACAGATGAGGTGTATGAGTCTGTTAAAATCATGTTTCCAGGAAGTTTTGATTTATAGAAATGTTAAACTATATTTTGCTTTTCCTTTAGATATTGTAGAAGGAATGGTGAACAAAGGAATTTACGTCACTGAAAAGAAAGGAGTTACCTTTCTCTTCTTTGGAAGCTATCAAAATTCTTGCATTAGTAATCCAGAAGTTTGTGGACCTGAAGGTTAGTAAATTCATTAATTACTATTTGCTTTTCTTTTGCTGTCAAATTATGTAATTCAACAATCATTGTTTCTTTCCTCATTGGAATGAACTCTCTAAAATTCCAGCTTGACATTATTCTTTATTGACTTTTAAAACAATTGAGTGTTGATTGCTGAAAATTTAGTCTTTTCTAACTGCAATTTAAATTAAACTAATCACCAGCTACTCAGATCAATGATCCACAGTATAATTAATTCAAACAAAAACAGAAATAAGCTTACAGTGCCCAAAATCTTTCCTGTGGCACCAAGAGTAATTCCTACAAGAACTGCAGTATGACAAACAAAGAAATTGTCCTACAGGTTTCAAAATTACTGCAGTACGACAAAGAAATTGTCCTACAGGTTTCAAAATCAGGAGACTGTTTTTCAGCGTGGCCTCTTTCCAGGAATGGTTTGGTTTTTTTAGATTCATCTTTGGATTTTTAAGTCCCCGGTGTCCTGGAATCCATTTGTCCTCGTAGGTGCTGAAATCTCTCCATTCCGTTTCTCTTCCCTTTCTTCTTCTTGGGCCGGGGTCACAAAATGACAGGTGTAATAGGGGGGCACAGATCTGACAGTGTGGTGATTACAGAAGGTGATTAAAACTGTATGCGACTGTCAAACCAAACATGCAAGTAGTCACTAGCATAAAACATTCACTAGAGATTTAAAATTCAGTAGAAATGGGAGGATCAATGGAAAAAGGTGGCTTTCTATACATGAACTCCAGCAGTCCCTAAGCTTAAGCAGGATTGTTAACATTGAATTTTCTTCCTTTTATTGATTTAGGCCGTTCTTCAAACTGGTAACATTACTTGAAATAGGATTTTTTTTTTTTTTTTTTTTTTATAGCAAGAGCTGTGTATTAACTTTTTACGAACTATAGCAAGCTGTGTATTAACTTTTTACGAAAGTAGGAGAAACTCAGAGAGCAGATGGTACGTGGCTATTACCTGAGAATATTAGAAAAAGTAATACAGTATCCCACTGTAGGCATATTTTCTGATACATGCTGTATCTTTTCATATTTTTTTCATACCACTGGGAAATAAAAATCATCAGTAAGTCATATTATTTCTACATCTATAGTATAATATAATAATCAGAATAAATTATTTTTATAGCACCAGAGCACTCCCAGTATCTCACAAACAAGAACATTAAAAACATAAAACACTGAAATGTTCAGCAGATAAAATGTGAAGAGAAGAAATCATGTAAACAAAAAATACTAAATCACTGTAGCAGGTAAAAAAAAAAAAAAGGAAAAAGCCAACACCCCTTTATCTAAAGAGAGTGTCTTTGTTTTTCTCCAAATCAAATAAAACCTGTGGCAATGATGTTATTTTATTCAAGCCTACTATTGCTTAAACATCCCTTGATGTTCGTTTGTTGCATTTGTGCGAAACTGGTGCTAAGTACACTTAAGCAGGGAATGCCTTCTGAAACGACCTTGGGATCTTTTCAGATGAAATATTACAACCTATGAAACAAAAATCCCAATATTTTTTCCTAGCCTAAATTTAATAACACTTCAGAACTGTTATTTTGACTTGAGAAAACAAATTCTTCTTGTTTTTAAAATGTTGAAACATTCTTCCCCTGCCTTCCTTCTTATTTTTTAAATACTGGTTTTCTGTGAGCAGTTTTGGGCTCATTAAAGTGGCATTTTCAGTCAAAAGAAACATTTGTGAAAGATGCAAGAGCGTGTTCTCGTAATCATTAGTTTGAACACAGTAGGGGAAGTTAGATTTAGCCAACATATGTGAAGTTGAATAATAAAAAATTAAAAAGCAGCCCTATGCACAACATAGCATTTCATAAAGCTGTGTGTTTCTTGTGTGCCTTACTTCAATTTTGATTTTTAGTTTTGGCGTTTCATGAACCAAAGTGCACGTAAGGAGGATTTAGATCCACAGTTTTCTTGTGGCTACAGGATGATCAGTAGCTACAGGGTACTCCGATAGGACAGACAGTCAAAGGTGGGGGAAACCGGCTCCGCTGCAGACATGCTGTATAACTTATTCTCCGTCTACATCATTTAAACTTCAGCTCTCAGCCCGTAAAGAAGGAATAACGGCACTTCCACGCCTTTCAGAAGTGTGGTGAAGCGCTGGAAAAAGATTGTGAGACACTTTGACAGAGGATTCGCGTTAATAGCAGTAATAGATTAACGTGGTCAGCCGTGGTGGCCCGTTCACCGGGACGGTGAAGGCTGGTGTGCAGATACGAGGGAAATGCATGGCTTTCTGGAAAGAGGGTTGGATCGGTGTTTCAACCTGTTGCTGGTGTGGTAAAGAAGCTGAAGTATGAACTCGGGCTTACCTGCTGATGAAGGTATTGCAACTTGCTTATAACAGACCTCAAATTCTTCAGCTGGGAGTTCACAGCATTTATAGCTTTAAACCCATATCCATCAAGATCTAGCAAACTGAGATTGATGATGTTCATACACTGATTGATTTCTAGGAGGCCAGCAATAATTGATTAGCATTTCCATGGTGGTTATTTTATGATGTATAAAGCATTTAGGGAATGGTGTGTAGATCATGTAAATTCATGGGTGCTGTCATGAAGCTAAACAGAAAGATCAGTTAGACAGGAAGATACTACATCATTAAACTATTTATTCTACAATAATAAAATTTTTAACTTTTCTGCTAAGTTAATGTGACAAAAAAAATAGGTGAAATATTAAAAAAGTATGTTCCGGGGGGGGGGGGAATATTTCTGATGTAGTGAGCTGTCTGAGGCTTTTCCATCTTTAATCATGAAATGATGAAATTAATATAAAAAAAAAGTCTGTGGTTTTAACAAGATATGTACATAATAGTTTGAGGGCTTCATTAACTTGTGCTGGGCTATCTGGTAGCAAATTGGCAAAGTCCATACTGCCTGGGCAGCCTGCAGAACTGCTTACTGTAAAATCATCCAGACATATTTTGACTACATGTCAAAACAGCGTAGTCAGCAGGTTAAGGGAAGTGATTACTCCCCTCTGTTCAGCGCTCATGAGAGCGTAGCTGAAGTACTATGTCCCATTTTTGTCCCCTGGTACAAAAGAGATGCTGACAAGCCAGCGAGTCCAGCAGATGACTTAGGGGGCTGGACAATGTGACATGGCAGGGGAGGCTGAGGCTTTTCCTTACACCAAGAAGAAAAGGGAATGCTAAGGGCCGTCTTCAACTACCTGATGGTGGTTATAGAAGCAGATGGAGCTAAACAATCTTGGCGATGCACAATGCAAACACGACAGGCAACGCAGGCACATTGTAGCACAGGAAATGCAGATTGGATCTAAGGAAAAAAAGTTTCTTTGCGATGTGGGTGGCCAAGCATCAGGGTGGTTTGCACAGAGAGGCTGTGCAATCTGCATCCGTGGTGACATTAAAATCTCAGCTGACCTCTGAGCAACCAGATCTAGCTCTGAAATTGGCCCTGCTTTGAGCAGGCGGTTTAGACTAGGTGATCTTCGGGGTCGTTGCCACCTTAATTCATTATGATTCTTTGTGGCAAAACCTCTTCCACTTCTGTACTTCATAAACTTTTTCTCAACCTGCTCTGAACTCAGATTTTACTGTTAGCACTTCGTACTATAAATTCTGAGATGAACATTTTTAGGAGCTGTTTAGTTGAGCCATTTTCTTTGTAATTGTATTTGACTGCAGAACCTCTACAGCAGAGCCGCTATGAACTTCTGAAGTGCGAGGGAGGTTTGATTTGCTACTTGTGTTTCAGTCAAGCCTTTCGAGGTAACCTTTGTTAAAGAAACAAGCCATCTTACAGAAATCGTATTTCTTCACTAATGTGCAATCTGAAGAGCTCTTCAATTTTACAGTAAAATAGTAAAATTTACTGTGAATTGAACAGGATTATTTGTGGATAAAGTTAATCACACGTGCACTTGCAGGATTGCACTTGCATTTTGGGAAGAATTCTTTGATTTTTTGTGTAGGTGGGGACCTCAGCATTTTGACTGTGGCTCTGCATATGTTGCTGTCCCTTTCTTTTACATTGGTTCTTTGCTTTCAGCATTTATCGGGGCACTGAAGTGTGAAAATACAGGTAATAACATCCTTAGAAGAATTAAAGTGTAATTAGCAATGGATGCCACTCAATAAGCATGGGCATGCTGGCAGCCAGTTAGCGCATCAGTAGCTTGGAAGCAGTCAATGTGCTATTTCTGGCCCTGCTGGCATTTGGTGAACATCAAAAAACGATGTAGATGCTGGCTGGAGGATATGGAGATATGAGAGCAACTTGTGTTTGGAAATAAGCAAAGATCACAGGAAGAAAAGGGGATCATCACAGGAAGGTGAGAAGGGTAAGGACACTGGAGAGAGAAGGCAAAGGGAATGGAAGCATAAATCTGTAAGAAAAAAACCTTCATTACTTTTGGTGCTCAAAGAACTTTAGTTTTAACTGATAAAAGCTACTTGGGAAGCAATGATTACTACTGTGTCCTGGCTGTGCGCATGTGATGCGAAACCAAGGAAGATATGTTTATTTGGTTTAAACTGTTGGAGCATTGTTGATTTTAAAAATGCTGTCCTTGTTTATGCTAGCAGATGATCTGTTCTCAAAAGCATTCCCACTCTCTGTATTCTACAGTATTGGAAACTTTTAATTCCACTTGTTTTTTTTTCATTAAAATCTCCTCTCACTTGCTTTCATCAGGAGTAACATTTTCCTTTTTCTGGAAGACTCAAGATCAGCAGGCTAAGTTTCTCCCTGCCTCTGGCGGACAAGTAATTTCCAGTGGTTTCAAAATCTGCTCAAATGAAGGTGAAGGCTCAGTGGAATTTTACACCCGTGGGAATGCAATGATGAAGTGGAAAGCAAGCTTTAGTCCGCCAGGTAAAGTTTAAAATGTTCTTTTTTATTCATTTCTTTGTTATATTTTACTTTATTCTTGCAGAGAGATGTAGTGGTAAGAGTACAACTTCAGGAAAGAGAAGTGGATATATAAAAATAGCTACAGAGCTCGGTGCTCAAGAATTCTTTTGATGGGGGAAGAGAGAGAGAGAAAGTACAAACTGAAAAACCAGTGATATTGTATTATAGAACATTTGCCATTCAGTAACAGTCCTCGGACCCAACTTCCAGTTGCTTCTGAAGTGGAATTCTTATTGACATCAATAAATTAATGAGTGCTTAGATGGAAACATGAGTGAAGAATGCAGGTTAATCCCCGACAGTTCTCAGTATATTCTAAAACTGGATACGTGTGCTGTCCTCTACTGCCTCCTAAATTAAGACTTTATTTGGTAACTGTCTAACTGGGTGTTTAGCGCTTTGGTCATTTTGTTATCTGTTGAGTGTCAAGTTTTTTATGCCATGGCGTAGTATTAATAAACGTTTTGGTATATCACATATCTTACTGCTTCTATCTAAACTGTGTATTGTTGGGGAGCGGTATTACCTAGTGACTGGAACAAATTCTGGTCTTCTAGTAATGACAGTCATGAAATCTTTTCTTGCCTTAATTTGACTACCTGTACATTGGTAAAATAGGACTTTCTCACCTCGTAGTAGCAGAGTCTGATAAAGCTTAATAAATCAGTTTAGAAATCTTATTTTAAGAGAAAAGCTGCTAAATGGTAAGAATAATGCAAACATTCACGGATTATCCAATCCAAGTGAAAATTAATATTATGTTTTCAGCCTCTCAAGTATAACAAAGAAACTGTGGCAACTTTTAATTAGTCTATTTACTTGTTCTCCAGTTCCTGCAGTCTTTATGCAGTTCTTGCTGAACTGGATTTTGAGACAGTATTGAAGAGACTTCAAATCTTGGCCAATAATCCTTAGCAAGTGTAATTTATGAAACTGCAGTGAGCCCAAGTAAGTTCAGACAAAAGCGAACAGGCATTCTGCCAAAGTATGGGCTTCCCCATGAGTATAAAGATTAATATACATGACATCAGCATTCCATAATTCACTCTTAGCGCTTCCTATACAGCTCTATAGCATTGCACAAGTCAGCAAAAACTTACTGAACAGGAAAAGCTCTAAATGGAATTGATTCATGGATTTTGCTGTGACTTTTAATGTTTTGCAGGTCCTTATTGGACTCATATTCTCTTTACTTGGAAATCAAGAGAAGGACTGAAAGTCTACGTCAATGGAACTCTGAACACAACTGATCCGGATGGGAAAGTTTTCTATGACTACGGAGATCCCAGTGCAAATCTACTGACTGGGACAGAGGAGGATCAAACTAAGCGCTATGTGAATGGGGCATTTGATGAATTCATTATATGGGAAAGGGCACTCACCCCCAACGAAATTGAGCAGTACTTTACAGCTGCTATTGGTGAGTATATGCACTGTTGTCATAATTCGTCTTCTCTAAAAATGCTGACTTTAAAAATGTTTAGTGTGTAGGATTTGTGTTCATTTTACATCTTTCAGCTATTGACTGTAATTTTTAGAGGCAGAAGAAGTCAGGTATGAATGTCACTGAAACGCTCAGCTGTCTTTGGATGCACAGTCTTTTTATCCTGGGTTCTAGCTCCTTAAAAATGTCGTAAAAAATTACCAAGACCTGAAGTATCCGGACATTGTTAGATCCCCTATGATCAAGAGAAGAGGAGTGATAATCAGTCTTGAGGCAGAACAGTATTAGGAAAGACTGACTCCAGATTTCTAAATTCCACTCTGGTGGTTGTGTAACTTAGAGCCGAGTCACTCAGTGTATTCCAGCAGATGTGGATAATAATGGTTATCTCTCCAGTTCCTGGAATGATAAAGACTTATTAACTCATGTATGCTTGTGAACTAAAAAGAAACATATCAGCTGAAATGTAATATAAAAGGCAAAGAATCAGGATTAGAACAAAGACTTGGACAACTGGCCAGTAAACCCTGTCAGTTGTTTTATGGATCTGTAAAATAAGCTTTTCACTACAAGAAAGGCTGTTGCTCTTAAGTGCTTGTGTGTGAGTAGCAATCAGAAAACATCAATTTTGGGAATAAAGCTATGGGGCATCTGGAACATTTGGCTTCACTGGCAGTTTCCCTGCTTTCATTTATTCTTACTAGGTTACTAAGAGCTAAAGCAGTTACACCCATAACTCTTGTGCTTTTAAACCCATGGGAACCATTGTCACAACGGAAATTCTTTGAATAACACAATTTCTGATGTGTGCCTGGAAATGAGAATGTACGTGTTTGTGACTTCCAGGTTTGATTATAGCAATCAGATATATACAAAATATATTTTCTCAAAAAAAGAAAATATAAACTAGTTTATGTAGAGTTGAAGTCACTGAAAAAGAAAACCCTCCATCTGGTATATAATGAAGCAATCTATTTGCTTTGCCACATAAATAATAGCAATTGCACTCAAGTTTTTTATTTTAAAACCTTTTTATTTTAAAAAGTGATTCCTATGAAAGTCTCCAAAAATTCTGATTGGGAGAATATTCATTTGATACAGGAAATAGTTTTCAAAACTAAAAAACTAAAAAAAAAAAGTTTTATTAACTTTATAATGTTCTGGTCACGTTGGAAAAAACGCTTCTGTATTTGGCCGTTGTATCTTTCATAACAATCTGGGGTTACTATAACACTATCCAACTCAAAGCTACCATCAATCACATTCTTTGATTTAGTGTAACTCAAGAAGAATGTTATGTTGCTAAACTCAGGAGCAGTAGATTTTCTAATTGACCTGATCCATCTATATGTGTGCCCTGTTTCACTGTCAGAGAAGTATGACTTACATAAATACAAAGAGAACTCTTTTTTTTAACCCCTTGAATTCTTGTGAACTCATGGCAACCATCCTCTGAAGCCCTCCACCCTCCCATCTTCACTCTAACAAATAATCAAGGCATCATGGAAAGCTCTTTCCACGAATGCAAACCCTGTTCAGGACTTAAGTTTCTACTTCTTCCCTCTGTACTTTGGTTTGGTAAGAGTCTTACTGGGGCTCAAAGCATCTGGTTGCTGGACATTAACACTTGTAGCTAGCTTTTGAAGCACTGCAGAAAGAGTTGGTCCCTCGGATTCTGCTAAAGTCTAAATTTTGGAAGAGTTGTACAGAATTTTGCCTGTATCCTACCTTTCAATCCCTGCTGATTTTTAGAAGGCTGTATAGCAAACTCCCTGATTTTGACATTGAGATGTTCACGCTTTGAGCTTTTGTGAGTTTACTGCAATTTGCATGACATTAGGGGTTCACAGGTTGTCAGGGTCATCTGGAACTATCCATTTTCTGTGAAAAATAAATTTCTAGCCTCTTAATTGAAAGTGAAACTTGATGTGTATTTTTTAGTGGCTTAGGAATTAAAATGTAAAGGGGTGCCAGGTATATATATTTTTTTTGTAAGTGTGAAGAATTTCAAGCCAATATTATTTTAAAATGCTCAGGTGATTTGGAGCACTTGAGAAATGTGGAGTATTGAATTTTTTGCTTTTTCCTTCAAAGTAGTGGACCAATCGGATTTTATAAAATTTCCAATTTGATGGATGAAGTTAGAACATTCTCAGAGGAAGCAATGGATATTACAATACTAATCAACATAGTGTAAACAAAAGTTATTCTTGGTATCTATTTATTGACTTTGGAGGACTTAAAGCAGGGTGGAAGCTGGGGGCTAATGTGGTTTGACATAAGAAACTTAATAGGACAGCCTGTTTTTTAATAGAATGAATAATCATGTTCCTTTTGGATCCATGAGAAAAATGTGTCCTATATATGCAACTACTGTTTGATTTTGCTGAAATACCACACTCCTGGCAAATATAAATTCGTGGTACGACGTAGATTAGAAGAAAATTTTATTTCTCTATCACAAATGACCAATAAATCCATTTGCACAGAAAGGAATCAATATTTTTAAAATGGAGCAACTGGAAACCGTCCAAAATTAAGTTTATTCTTTCTGTCTCAAATCATTTATGACATGCTCATATGGTAATTTTCAATGGATACAGTGCTAATGGGTGACATTTATTAGTAAAGCCTGTCTGACTAATAGCGACCTCACTGTTGCTTGAAATCAACTTACAAACACCTAATAGAGACATTATCTATAATATGCTCAAACTGCTAATGAAGGTTGTTTTGACTCCTTGACCCCCGTTACTTGTTTTATGCAAAACTAGCATGCCCCAAAAGCTTTAGTATACTACCATTTCAGCCAATGTTCTTTTATTTGAGGGTGCCTTAGTTTTGCTGCAAGCAATGGAAGTATTTCTGTTGGCTTTGAATATTTCTTACAGATTTTTTTTAACGTGGAAAAGTCTTTCTGAACTTGCCTTCATGGGTGTGATTTTATTTGGCACTCAAGCAATTTAGACTCAAGATATAAGTAAACATTAGCATTTGAAGATCATAGCTGAGACTTGAGTCTCATTTTTTCCAGCGTCTGTATGTTCCCAGTCCCAGTTTATCACATATACAGAAAAACAGCAAGGTCGTATATGAAATTGTCAAAGTGCCTATAGATTATTATTTATTTCTGATAAGACTTTTTTTTTTAATTTTCCCTAAATACTTTGCATAAATGTTGGGGGAAGAGCTAGAGAAGGAAGATGGATGCCAATGCTTTAATTGTACAGTTGCCCTCTTTTTATTGAGATATAACACTTGAAATTTCCTGTTTGCAAACAAAGGTTTAATTTTAAGTGTTTAAGACTTAGACAAAATGGCAAGGCTCATCTATATAAAAATGATGAAATAAAATCGATGAGAGAATCAGTAAATGAAATGCTTTAAACAAGCCTGTGTAGCTACAGTGCTGCAAATAAGTAAAATGCGCAGAACAGCAAATATGTTACTTTCTGTTAGAACTGATTCAACCTGCAGTGGGAATATCAGTTGTTAACACTCATTCGTGTATGTATTTTCCCCAGGTGTGCAAGTTTTGCTTTCTTAAACGCTTCCATGGTCTGTGATGACAACCACTACAAAACCTGTGGTAGGACAGTCCTCGTTAACTCTTTTCTGTAACGTCAGAATGTGTATATATTACAGAGTTACAGACCCTCCTCACTTCATGGTTTTCATTAATGGCACTTAGTACCCCAATTAGAAACGTTTTCCGATATGCATAGGGAGAATTTTTAGCCACTATGGGAAGATGGGAGTACTACAGAACTCTTAATGTAGGACAGATAAAGGAAATTCATTGTTAAATAAAAATATTTTCTATATTAAAAAAAGGAAAAAATGTAGAAACTTCTGAAATATTTCAATGAACTTTGAAGATACAGGACATTCAAAAACATTTTGCTAATTTTTCCTCTTATTTCCTTTAAAATTAGAAAAAAAATTCCCACCACAATAACAGAACTAGTTTTCATGTGTTTAGTAAATGCTTAATGAAAAAGATTTAAATAAAATTAATTTTTCATATGCAGAATACGTACAATTGGCTGAAATCAGCCGACATGCAATTAGCTGTTGCAGTGTATTTTCCCTTTCTTGCTCTCTGCAGTGTCAAAGTTCTGTTAGTTTTCTTCTTGTTCACAGGGGCTTTCAGGAAACCATGGCAGATAGGGCCTGAATGGCTAATGAAAAAATGAAGCTGTGCCTGTACATTCTGTTTATCCCATCCGTCTGTCCATGTGCTTCCCTTTTCCCTTGGCTTATGTGTAACCACAGGAGTCTGCTGTGCCTCAATCTCCCTTTTGGGCTAAAACGATAAAAAATGACTTCCGTATGGAATAATTTCTGATGGGTTCTCTCTCCTGTAGCTCTCTACAAACGCCTATCGTCCCATCATAACTAACCTGACCGAGGAGAGAGGGAACTTCCGCTCCCCCGACACCATGCTGGGTTACCTGGAGAACGTGTCCTTCAGCTTGCCCAACAAATCCTTGTCAGAAAATACTGCTCTAAGCCTGACAGAGGTAAGCGTCTTTCACATCTCTGTGTGGAGCCGGATGAGCCTGAGATTTCTCCAGAAGCTGGAGTTTCGAATGCAGCTTTGAAAGTTTTTGCTAATTGCAGAAAATACACATGAAAAAAGCAGTACCTATTTGAGGGAGTAGCAGAAGGTGAGCTTCAACCAGACGAAATAGCTTAAAGCTCTCATTAGTTCTTGGGGATATTATTTAATGCATAAATTATAAATACCTGGAACCGTGACCACACATCAAAAATAATTATTTAGTTGAGCAGGAAACAGAGGAGGAAAAAAGAATTTGTTAATTTTTTTTCAGCTGCAAGTGTATCCAATGAAGAATATGTAAGTCTGGAAAAAAATTCAGCGTTTCTCTGCACGGCCCAGCTGATCCAAAATGCAGCAGAGCTTGACAGTCATCTGTGAGGTGCAGGACATACAGGCGCTGTCAGCAGAGTAGTGACAGCAGCAAAATGGAGGCACGCGTGAGCTAATGGCAAACTAACTAGCTTGGGTGCAGGGAGCACTCTAGTTTCGTGTCTGTATCAGTCTGGCCCCAGGTCACTGCCCAAGTAGAAACTTCTAACTTCTTATCTTTGAGACTCACACCTGCGCTAGGGGGTTGAAAAGTTACCAATTACTGCCGTCGGCCCAACCTGCTGTTAGCATTTGTTGCTCCTGTAGCAAGCGGAGGGCAAGCTGGGCCTCTCCTCCGGCTTCTCTTTTGCGAAGTCACGCGTTATTCTTGCCGGCCTCTGCGATGGCGGAGGCACACGCCGTGCTCCGCGTTGGAGGTGGAAAGCTGCGGGAGAGGGCCTGCTCGTGATGGTGGCGTCCTTAGCTTTTGTGAGTTAATAGCTTTATCTTGCGCCGGGTTCCAGTCGCAGCCGGGACTCCTGGGTAGACATATCACAAATCTCCACTGAAACTGGTTCATGGAACGATCAGGTGCCAAGCTTAACTGAGTAATTTATTTTTGTTTAAGCTAATCCACAAAGGCGGGGGGGGGGGGGGTTTTTTGCATTTGGAGGAGTTTTCTGCAGTCTGAGCTGAGGACAAGGGGTCACGTTCTGCTAATGTAAAGTTAGCCTTCTGTAAAACGATGGGCATCTAATTCCCTGATTTCAGCAGGCTAGAAGGCTATTATTACAGTAATCAGCTCTGGCCTCACTAGTGATTGTTCCTTTAAGCCTGCGGGTAATACCAGGGTGACAAGGATTATTTACTCAGGCAAACAATATAAATAAATGCTTCTGAAAACTACACGGACAGCAATTGATAGTTTGTGTTAAAAGCTTAGCATTTGCAAACTGTAAAGCTTGGATTTCATGGATCACAGTTTATTAAGTAGCAAAAAACCTTCTAAAAAGCTCTAATACATTATTTCCTTTGTTTTGCTGAAAATTTTGTGTGGGCTCTAAATTGAAAATGGAACATCATCCTGCCAGATATCGTACCTGTTTCCCACATCATTTCAGTTGCCGTTTGGTTGCTCATTCATGCTATCTGATGCTGCTTTGTGTGCCATGAAAGTGATTTGCAGACAGAAATGTGGGACACGATTATCTTTAGCAAAGCTATTTTGGGAAGTAAACACAAGAGAGTCCTGATCATACATACAGACTCTGTCATTTGTCTGATTGATGGGTAGGCTTTGTATTGTCTGCAGCTAATTCCCTGAAAGACAGGCACTGAGCATGCATGCTATTTTCTGTAAAGTTATCTCTGTCCTGATTGTCATATGCCTCACAGCACAAGAAAATTTGATTTAAGTGATATGCAATAAACTGTCTGATTACTGGCACACATTTATAATGCATTGCTTCTGACAAATCTGACTTGTGTTTTCTGTTATAATGCTGCTCTGCTCAGTAGCTCCGGCATTCCTGCTTTCCCTCCCTTTCCAGTGGTCTAACACATCCTTTTGGGAGTAATTCCGGAGTGATGCTGTGACCTGAAAAGAGAGACTCGCTGAATGCTCTGGGCAATTTGAGCTGGGTCCTGGGTTTAGGATAACTTCTGTGCGTGCCAGGTAGAATTCTGCACTGAATGCTTGAGAGAGGCTGCAAGGTTTGTGCTGCCCAAAAGTAAGCTCGTATAGCAAAGCTCTGGTACTGCCCTATGTATTATGGCTTGTAAAATTATGCTCAGGAAAGTCTTGCAGCTTTCTTCCACATTTCTCAGTGGAACTTTTCTATATTCAGTTGATGCTTTTAAGACATCGTAACAGAGAAGTTTAAGCAGGAGATGTGGGTTTTTTCTTTTAATTTTCTGTGCAATTTTCTGTGCTCCCTTTTATCCTCCTTCTATTTGTCTTCATCAGCAAGACTCCTTAGGACAGGGACTGTGTCATGCTGAGCACTTGAACAATGCCCATCATGACAGATCTTCACCTCAAAACCAACCTTAAAGTACAGATAATAAATTGTACGAGTAAGGGGACCCAGATATTTACCTAGTGCTGTTGAAATAGCTAGTCATCTAAGACTAAAAGAGGTATTAATGTCATATAAGTTTAGATAAAATGGGAGAATAAGTTCACTTTAGTCTTAGTTCCAGCGTTGTCACCTCAGCTGTAGTATAATGATTGCACTTTGGGAGTTTCACAGTGGTGTTACTTTTAATAAATAAACTATTACTTTAAAATGTCACCAGGCAGAACACGATGAGAGTGCTGGCAGGTAGAGATGAAACTGTGACTTGAATGAAAATGGGCTTGTCATCTTAAAATAAACCTAAGAAAATCCTAGCAGAGATCTGCCTTGGATCCTTATCAGGAGATGTAGTAGACTAATAAATAAACAAATAATATAGTTTTATTTATCTTTTAGGCATTTTTAAAAGCTGTTGAAGACTTTCTGTTACTGCCCAACTGGATTGATGTACCAGAGGTAAGACAAACGGGCTTAGATTTGTAGGTTACTTCAGTTGCATAATTTCACATGGATAGTAATGAAACTGGTTGCCTCTTTTTTTCTTCGTTAGGACTTTTTGGCAGTATAACTTATTTATTTTCTCATATGTCACTTTCATATTTGCAGTAAAGAGCCACAGACAAAACAATTATGTCATTTTCTTTTATAATGTGTTTTTGAGGGTTAAAATAAGGGAACTTTATCTGCTGCTATTTCCACATGTTTCAGGATGAATGAAACAAAATTGCATATACAAAATAACAGATATCGTCACTGAAGTAAGCGTTTAATCACTCCTTTTTTAAGCACTGAACTTTGATATTTAAAGGTTTATATTTGTTTTGTAGTTTGATGTTTTTCAATGCATGTGAAATAGGCGGTAGTGCTTACCTGTTTAGTGAACTGAAACTTTGAGGAAGATTAAACCTAATATAGGGAAAAGTAATTTGTATCTTGTTTTGTTCTTTCTTTCTAGTCTACCTTTTAGAGTGCAGAGAAATATGTGCAGGAGGAAGCCAGGAATTTCCTGAGATTTTTGTTTGAACCTTAAGGGAGGACAGATTTCAGAACAGAGAGCTTTTAAACTGAGAGAAGGAGAGGCTAAAGTAAATTAAGGTCTCACTGAAGCCTAAAATGATTTAAGACAAAAAGATGTCTAATTTATTTAAGTTCTTAGCCTAAAATCCTTGATCATCTCTGACGTAAATAGATTTCAGATAAAATAGATTTCTTTTTCATTGAAACATGCATTCACTCTGAGATTTTATGGATCAAGTTTCAACCTGGAGGGTTGTTTTCCAGGGGACACACAAACACTTTGAAAGTAGCTTTATACTGGGGACCATTTTGATAAAGATGAAAGAAACTGTAGTGTCTCAGCATATGTTCCAATAACGATTTGATACCAGTCTTTATATATTGTCAAAGTAATCTGCTCAGTTCTTGGCCTCATTCTGCTGAATCCTGAGTATAATTGACTGTCAAATGCTGGTGGGAGCAGAAAGTCATTTGGAGACATTTTATAAAACGGTATTTTGTAAGTATTTTATATTATATATAAGTATCTGTATGGGTGTCATCAATTCGTGTAACATTTTATATGTGGAAAAGGTTGTGGAGAAAGTCACGTTTGACTTTGGATGGTTGAATGGTGAGTCACACAGGAATTTAACATGGCACCTCGGCATTCTGTGCTATGAACTGCAATTTCTTTTGTCGTAAGGCCTTCTTTCTCTTCTTCCCCCAGACCGCTCACGTATTTGGAAGTTTAATTCAAACTATTGACAGTGTGATGGCTCATATGACGCACAATCTGGATGAAAACTCATTACCTTTAACTGTTGAGGGCACGACATCTGTGGCAGGTAGGATTTAGCAGAAATGTTCTTTCTGGACTGTCTGGGTGTCCCAAACACTTCTGTGCTTGCAGCCCCTCCTTTGCCAACACGAAGGAGGAAATCAAAACAGATAGTTTTCTCTTTTGAATACAAAACAGTGTTTCAGTTGTAGAAAGGTGACTGTGCATTTAGTCCAGAGGTAATCAGCTCTGACTGCACTTGAACTTCCTTGAGGTTATTTGGGGAGGGGTTTAGAACATGAATTCTATGAAATGTACCCAGTAGTACCATACAATACTAATAGGCAGTCAAAGGGCCTAGAGCTCTTATGCAGCACTTTTGTGTTGCATATGAAGTTGCAGATATCTGGATGCTACAAAAACTTAATTTTGCAAGGTTTTTGCAGGAGATTGCAAATAATAGGAATAGTTTTGACCTTTTAGGAGAATTTTTTTACTGCTGTTTAGCATCCTAGCACCCTAATTTCATCTGTGTCTTTGCATGCTACAGGTAGCAAAGGTAACGCATCTGTTCTGGAATTCTGCTCTGCCTTGTTGAGACCTGTGTGAGGGGGCAAATAACCTGAGCAGTCACCAGTACCATTAATCACTGCACATACTCTCTTGGACACTGGCATTCTCAAATGGAGCAGTGGAGGTCTGAAATAATGCCTTCAAATGTCAGTGGAAGGGTGTGTTATCAATCTCTTTTGCTTGCCCTGGTAAGCTCAGTATTTGAGCATGGGTGAAGTGATCCATGGTATATTAACAGTGCGCGTACCACCTTCTCTGTCATAAAGGAGTCAGATATAAAAGGCAATTTTATACTTGGGGAATTTACTATATTTTCTGCAAACATCTGGGGTTTTAAATTCAAGACTTGCAATAGCTATTAGGGAAGTCTAGTTAAATAGTCAAGTAGGTTGTAGAGGCTATTGATTTTACCGTATTTTTGTTTGGGTGTCACACAGATTACACCTTGGTCAAAATGCATCCTCAGACTCTGAATTTGTCGCACTATCGATTTCCATATCGAGGACAGAGTTATATTTCCATTCCCAGTGAAGCTTTTCATGAAAAAGGTAAGGAAAAATTTAAAGGGAGGAGCAAAGTCATGTAAACAGGGTATCCAAAAATGATTTTGCTTGAAAACAGGTTTTGGTTTGCTTTATTTTTCCAAGTAACCAATTTGATCACTGTTGATCATACTGGCTCTAAAGAAACAGCAGTTGGCCTGTTATGCTAATGAATGATTCATGTGGTAGGATTTTCATATTACGTGAATTAATCTTGAATAATACAGCTGGGCCACAGAAACTGAAGCCATTTAATTTTGACATCTTTTTACATCAGAGAAGCCGTAATTTCATAAATTATTTTTAATCATCTGAACTGGTCATTTTTAAGAAATTCCAGGATGTCAGATCAGGTATTATTTATCCCTTCATGCAAAATCGCTCTTAAAATGTTGTATGAAATTAAACTATAAAATGACAGGTTTAAGCAACAGCAGCTACAGAAACAGAATGAAGATGAAAAGTACAGTCAAGGCAAAAAGGCAGAACTCAGAAATCCATACCTAGGCTAAAATTTTAATAATCTCAAAAGCAAGGTATGGCAAAAATCTGAAGCTTTAGTCAAGACTCTAAAATAACAATGTTTGAAGTTAATTATCTATATTTTAACCTATTTACAAAAACATCTACCTGCATCCTCAAATCTTTGAAAATGTGACTTATGTGTCCTAAATTGCAACCCACGGAATTTACACACCCAGAGACTTTTCCGCAGTCACCTCTGTTGAAGGAAGGTTGGTCCCTATTCATAAAGTGCAAAGTTAGCTGCAGATAACCTGCAGTGAGAAATACTCTAATAATTACTGAACTGTCTACCTGATTTGCGATGACAGCTTTGTTTCTTTGCACTGGCAGGGGGCTCTGGCTGGAGACTTCACTGCAAGTGCTCTGAGGCTTGAATAACTGTAATTGCAAACCAACTTGTAATACCAAAAGTAGCATGTGAGAGAACTTTTCTTCCTTTCCCGCTTATGAAGTCTTTCACCGTGCAGATTTTTTTTTTTCTTCAGAACATTATCATGCTTGGTATCCTGAAATGATCCAGCCCATTAAATGTTTAACTCTTTTTGTCCAGCTAAAGCTCACTTCTGAGTAATTTCAGCCTTCAGGCCACACTTCTACACTGTCCAAATGAGCTAACCTAAAAATTCATTATTCCACCTTAAACAGTTGACACTATAAATACTTGGAACCCAGCCAGAGGGATAGTGAAAGACATCTGTGTGGCTGACACTTAGAAAATACGCATCTGTCTCTTCACTCAGATGCTGGAGAACCCATAAATACTTGGAATGCAGGTGGCAAACAGACAACCAAAGTGGAAACCGGTTGCCCGTGTTCGAGTTTCATAAGCTGCCAGTTAATGTAGGTGGTGGTGAAGTAGCCCTGAGATTACCGTAGCTACCATTGAGACGTTGACTCTGGCATGTCATGTGACCCTTTCTAGTGCTACGTGGGGGATTTCTAATTGACAACTGATTACTTCAACAACTTATTTCGGAAGTACAGTTGCGCAGGGAAGGCATCCTTCTATTTTACTTTTGATATCTGTCTCCTGTGCCGTACTGCAAGGTGTTCATACTTTTTCACTTACTTAAAAGAACAATCAGAAATCTGCTAAAGCAAAGATATGAAAGTCTACAGAAGTCAAGGCTCTTAACTAACATGGACTTTCAGGTCTAGGAGAGCAGTGTCTCTTGCTTACAACTGTTGCTCTGAGGAATAACCCCTGTTCCCTTTTCACAGCTTGGATTACCATTGTCGGCCTGCTTTACCATAACATGCACTATTTCTTTCATAATATCAACCCTATGGATACCAAGTAAGTATCTCAGACCTCTCATGCTGTAACAGCTTGTTTGTTACCTTAGTGATACACCTTTATAGCAGTCATATCAATATCAACTGTAAATAAATTATGAGCCGTAATCTTGATTCTGCAATATTGAGGACATGTAGTCATTAACTAGAGAGAAATTAAAGCTTACATTAGATGTTTTACTTTATGTTGCAGTAAAATGGATTCCTGTAGCGACATGTTTGCCTTTCTTTGTCTTCTCTTTCCGTTCATCATATCTGGTATTAGAATTTCATGATTTAAATGTGCCTCATGAAAGGAAATTACATCTTTTTTCCTGACACATATAAAGATAAAGCTTGCACTAAAATGAAACAAGTAAGAAAACATAACATCCCTCTTTAGATAAAATCTGAATCCTAATCCTAGAAACCTGTAAGGTAATTTTACAACAGGAGACCAGGCAATGCTTAAAAGACCTTTTGTTTTATATGCTGCGTCAATGAAATCATTAGCAGATAAGATAAAGTAAATGCAGAGCTGTATACCTCTCGGCAATAGAGTTCCCCAGGGAATTTTGCAAGGCTGTTCGTGTAAATCATTAAATTTTCCTTTTAAGCTAGTGTGACTTTATGTTTTTCTTTGATCTGCACTGGGGTGCGTAGATTAGTTTACACTTGCTCTCAGTCTTTTCCAGTCTGTGACTTTTTGGTGTGTCGTTTATGACAGCAGAAGGAAAGATGCAGCATCTCGGCTGTCATGAATGGCAGGGATTGCCTCCCTTTCTTTACATAAAGCTACACGGAAGGTCATGATCACAGGAATTCATTTGTGAACTTCAGGGTAAAAAGTCCTGGCTTATGACCAGATTGATCACACTGAGATAATCACACAACTATTACTAAATAGCATTTTTAAATCAAGTTGCAAGTTGTACTGTTGTTTACCCTGCTCTCTCATAAAAAGGGCACTTAGCAGGTGGCTGTAAAGGAACCATGTCATTAACGTGCAATATTTCTTACTGACGTGAAGAAATAGAGGCAATAATTTATGACAGCTTAAGTTTTTCAAACAGGAGGATCAGTACAGTTTATTAAGATAATAAGCTTATAATCTCAACTTCTCAAAGAGAATTAGTCATAAAATCATAGAACAGTTTGGGCTGGAAGGGACCTCTAAAGGTCATCTAGTCCAACCCCCCTGCCGTGGGCAGGGACATCTTCAACTAGATCAGGTCGCTCAGAGCCCCGTCTACCCTGACCTGGAATGTTTCCAGGGATGGGGCATCCACCACCTCCCTGGGCAACGTGGGCCAGTGCTTCACCACCCTCAGCGTAAAACATTTCTTCCTTATATCTAGTCTAAATCTACCCTCTTACAGTTTAAAACGTTCCCCCTTGTGCTGTCGCAACAGGCCTTGCTAAAAAGTTTGTCCCCATCTTTTTTTATAAGCCCCCTTTAAGTACTGAC